TCTTGTAGTTTTCATTGTATAGGTCTTTTACATCTCTGGTTAGATTTATTCCTAAGTATTTTATCTTCTTGGGGGCTACTGTAAATGGTATTGATTTGATTTCCTCTTTGAGGTTCTCTTTGTTGGTGTAGAGGAATCCAACTGATTTTTGTATGTTTATCTTGTATCCTGATACTTTGCTGACTCTATTAGTTCTGGTAGTTTCCTTGTGGATTCTTTGGGGTTTTCTGTACATAAGATCATATCATCTGCAAATAGAGATACTTTTACTTCTTCCCTACCAATCTGGATGCCCTTTACTTCTTTTTCTAGCCTGACTGCTCTGGCTAGTACTTGCAGCACAATGTTGAATAAGAAGGGTGATAAACGGCATCCTTGTCTGGTTCCCGTTCTCAAGAGGAATGCTTTCAAAGTCTCTCCATTTAGGATGATGTTATGTTGGCTGTCGGCTTTGTATAAATGCCCTTAATTATACTGAGGAATTTCCCTTCTATTCCTATTTTGTTGAGAGTTTTTATCATGAATAGGTGTTGAACTTTGTCAAATGCCTTTTCTGCATCGCTTGATAAGATCATCTGGTTCTTGTCTTTTGTTTTATTAATGTGATGAATTACACTGATTGTTTTTCTAATGTTGAACCATCCTTGCATATCTGGTATAAATCCCACTTGATCATGGTGAATTTTTTTTTTTTTTTTTTTTTTGATATGTTGCTGAGTTCTATTGGCTAGAATTTTGTTAAGGATTTTTGCATCAATGTTCATGAGGGAAACTGGTTTGTAATTTTCTTTTTTTGTGGTCTTTACCTGGTTTTGGTATTGGGGTTATGCTGACTTCACAAAATGAGTTTGGGAGTATTCCATCCTTTTCTATGCCAAAGGTCTTTTTGTCAGTATCAAAGACCTATCATGACCTACAGGACTGGATGCTGGCCATTTCTCCAAAGTCATCTCATCTCACTATCCTTTCTCTTCTCTAGGCACACTGATCTCCTTGAACACATAAAGCACACTCCTACCTCAGGACATGTGCTTTCTGTTTACACTGCTTAGAGAAAATCTTCCGCCAGATAGCCAACCCTATGCTCACTGTATCACTGCATTTTATGCCCCAATGTCACTTCCTCAGAGGAGTCTTCCTAACCTCTCTACTTAAAATACAACACTCATAACCCCACTGATCACCCTAAAACTCTAGATCCTTTTACTTTTTTCCAATGGCACTTAATAACAAACTGATATTTTTCTTTTGTTTTTTTTAACTGTAGTATCTCTAACCCAGAACAGTTACAGACACTCAATAAGTGTTCAATAAATACTTGTTAAATAAATACATGGGCTTACAGGTCAAGAAAGAGCTCTGAACTGGAGACAGATTTAGGGGTCATCAACGTATACATAGAAGTAGATGAGATAGTCCAAAATGTGTGTAAAAAGTGAAAGGAAAATCAAATTATTATAAATATACTAAAGGAACCTTCTATGCAAAAAAATCTAGTAATAAATCTTTAAGTTAATAATTATCCCCTGCTTTCATCATTTATCTTTTAAATACATTTAGATTTTCATATACTAGATTTTAAGTTATTTTATACATAACTCTTCCAATGAGGTTCAATCCAAAATTAGACCAGAACAATCTTGATTGTTTGCCAGGCTAGACTAATCAGCAGTCGCAACATCAAGCTATCAATGATATCTAAACAAAATGCCAATACCTCTGCATCTTCATCAAGTTGCAATTGCTTGGCGATGGCTTCATCATTTAATCTGAAATCATCTGTATTTTTCGAAGGCTATATTTCAATGAAAATGAAGTGAGATCAGCATAAACCTTTACTTAAAAATAAAGTGCTTTTTCTTGACTGTAGCTGATTAAACAAACTGATGGGAGATAATTGTATGAGTGATAGAATAGCTGCAATCCACACTGGCCAGAAAATCATGTTCATGGTTACTTCCTGAACACATCCAATTTCCTAATGAGTAAATATCCCACAGACAAGACGATTCTCACTTAATTCTATTGATATGTTCAAGAGAAGTACCCAAAAAAACCCTGTAGACAAATATCTTGACCTGAGAAGTCCAGAACATTGGCAGGCCAATATGTGAGAATGATTACACTGTCCTGTGGAGGCACTAATGAAATCAACAAACACGGCACACCATTTGGCAGGCTTTAACTCAGGGGACTAGTTTCACCATAATTTATCTGTATGTCTGTTTCCTAAACGGCCATAAAAAGATGATTCCAATATCAATCAAACTAGAAGATAAAAAGTATAGCACAGGTATGCCCTATTTAGAACGGATGCATTTAGACCTCATTTGGCAACAAATTTATTGTCCAATTTTGTCTAACTGAGGTCAATAGTAAAATGAGTTTGCCTTTTGAGTATTTAATTTAAATTCTAAGAATTAGAATGTTTTTCTAATGGTTTAAATGATCTTTTCCTATTCCGATATTTAAAAAAATTAAATGTTTAATAATCTAACTTCCTCATCCCCTAAAATGAGGGCAAAACTTTTCCATAATCACAGGAAAATTATTTTCATTAATAAAACATGTTGACCTATGTATAATGCCCAAATTTCTCCTCTTTTTAATAGCAGTGAATAGGTAAAAGCCTGAACATTCTTACCGCACCTAGAACACTCACCTTTTTTCTTTTGCTTGCCACCATCTTCTTATCTGATCTTTGGATACTTCCAGTTCCAAAATAATCAAGCACTGATGTGGGTGTAAGTTTTACAGGAGATAAAGGCTTATTCTTGGTCTTAGTATTTTCTTCATTCTTTTTCATGTTTGACTCTCCAAGATAACTATTTGCAGATCCTCCATTGTCTTTCGATTTAAAAGCTGTCTTCTTATACATAAGGTCATCTTCTTCATCTTAAATGAAATAAACCAATTTTTAAATAAAATATCAATTCTAATTATATAACACAACCACTTCTGCCCGCTTTATAAAAAGTATACATGAGCCATGGGATTCTAATGATTGTTTTCTTCCTATCTACCAATTCCAACAATCAGCTCCACATTTACCAGTGCCAGGCCTGTAACACACTATCCCCCTCCAATTACTATCCAGAGTATACAAATATATTTATTCACTCATGTATTCAACAAATATATTTATTCACTTATGTATCTGACAAATATTTAACTGAGCACCCATTATATGCCAGGCACCGATCCAAGCACTGAGGATGCAGTAGTGAATAAAAAAGACAAGATCCCTGCCCTCAAGGAGAATGGAGTCTAGGAAAGAAAACAGATACAAATAAATATAATCAAGTTATAAGTGTTTTAAAGAAAAAGTAAAACCAAGTGAAAGAATTAAAGAGTGATAAGAGTGCTCTTATAGAAAGGATGGTCAAGAAAAGCCTCTTTGATGAGCAACATTTAAACAGAACCCTGAGATGAAGATACTTCACGTAAGAACATTCAGGCAAAGAAAACTACAAATCCAAAAGCCTTAAAGCGAGTGTGCTTGGAGGTCAATGTGACTGGAGCACAAGGGGGGAAAGCTGTATGACTTAGGGTCAGAGAGCTAGGGGTCAAATCCTAAAGGGCTTTTATGTCACGGAACCACGTAATGGAATTTTACATACAAATAAATTATAATGTATACACCCACTATTCATTTATGGACATAATTAGATTCCAAAGACGATGTCGTTACGCAAAATTGACCTTATGTGAGGAGGATGAGGACCTGGAGACGGCCCAGAGCCTGGACCCTCAGAACTGCTGTGCCCCAGGCACTGCTGTGCTCTGGACCCCAAGGCCCTGCATTTACAGGCAAAGTTGATGGCTCTGGGGCTCAGGCAACCAGCGGGGACAGGGGTCAAGACAGTCAGAGGGGGTTGCTGCCTGTGTCCATGCCCCCTGCAGCCGCCCCTTCTGCAGCCCAAGGCGTCTGCTGCTGCCCCCGGGAAGGACCCCATGGAAACGAGTGATGCCTTGCTGGTCTTGGAGGCCTTGGAATCCAAGGCCAAAAGCCTAGAGACTAACAGCTGCTCAGAAGAGGAGCTCAGCAGCCCAGGCTATAGAGCAGGAGGGCGCAGCCAGCTTCTGTTGCAGCTCCTAGGCCTCAGATTACCCCAGTACCCTTCCCAGTGCAGAACTTAGCCCTTCCAGGGCACTTGAGTAGAGGGGAGCAGCAGAAGCAACCTCCCCCCACCCCAACCCCCGCCTCCTCCTGGGCCCCTGTGGCCACTCGTGGGTCCTTCTCAGAAGGGCTCCCTCAAAATCTGCCTCAGTCACCTCTTTCACAGAAAGAGCTGCATGGTGGCTCTGGCAGTGGGGATGGGACCAGCAAGAGGCCTTCTGGAGAGCTGGCTGCATCAGCCTGACAGACGTGAGAGTGGCTCTGTGAGCTAGGAACTAGACACAGGGAGGAAACCCAGGTTAATGCACCAGTCGGATAGTAGATTTTTTATTATTGTCATAAACGCGAAATGTCAGATAACGAGATAGTCAATAAGTGAGGTGTACTCATATTTACTGACAAAGATATTCATATTTTTATGAAGTGACAACAGATGACATAACATGTTTAATCATGTATGTATGTGTATACATATGTATATAATATATATACACACATATGTACACGTATATACATATATATAGATAGATAGATATAGATATATATACACATATACATTTTAAAATGCCCATGCAAAAGTCTAAAAAGAATTAATAAAACACTACCAATTTTTATTTCAGGGTAGGGGATTACAGGTGATTTTCTCATTTTTAATTTGTATCTTTTTCTTTTATGTATTACATGCTTGACTGAAGGCAAGGGGTCATCTGTTTTCATTGAGTTAAAACAATTATCAAGGATGATCTTTCATCACTATCTTCCTCTCTAAATTTCATTTCTAAAGCTATTTTCTCAATTGTCATTTAGAAGGAGAAAAAAAATCAGTCTTCACATCTGTACTCAAGGTCTCTTTCTTTGTCACCTCATAAGAGAACATGGCCACATGTTCATTCCTACTTTGTTCTCTAGTATTTTCACTACTCCCACCTTACTCCTTTCCCATATTAAAACACCTTCAAATCTTCTTCTTTTCTTTCCAATTCTACCCAATAATTGTTAATAAATGCCCTCATTTCTCCCTATAAATGGTTTAAAAAAAAAAAAAAGTTTCAAGCCCCTCACTATCAGGCTATTGGCAAGAATAAATTTTTTTTAAAGGCAAAGTGATTGGTACAGCACCTCATCATGTTATAAACATTCAATAAATAATAAAGTAGTATTCTCTGATGAAAACACTGAGTCAGAAGTCCAGAAAATCAGAATTCTAACCTGATTTTGACTTACTATTTTTACTTTAATTATCTGAGCTTCAATGTCCTCTTCTATAAAATGTTGGACCAAATTCTAAGACTTTTTCCCTCTATAACTCTGTGGATCTCTGGATTGCCATGTAGGTTTTTTTGACTATTATACTCAATATTGGTGAGAACATGATGAGTCTGAACTAATACAAACACAAATTATGAAATTATAAACTAGTAAGACTTTTCTGGAAAGCAATTTAGCAAAATATATCAAGAACCTTAAAAAAATTCATAACTCTTAGACATGGTAACTCTTGGAAATAATCACAGATGCTGAAAAAGTTATTTAAATACAAATACATTCATCACACAATTATGAATCTGAAAAATGTAAGCAACTAAAATATTCAAAATAAGGGAAGGCTATATAAATTGTGGTCTGGCCATGTAACGGACTAATGCAGCCTTAAAAATTAAACCCAAATTACAAAGTTTTGCAATTTTTTTTTTTCCAAAAAAAATTGTGATATCAGCAAAAACAAGCTGGCAAAAAAACCAAAAATGCATTACTTTGTTCTTTTAGGCTAGCCCCAACAATACAAGTATAAACGTCACCCCTAAAAGGGGAATTTCTTTTCATGAGCCTTCTCTACTAGCAATCTTCTTATTTCTACAATTAGTAGGAAGGAATACAGCCCTTCTCTGAATTTTGGCTTGTTCTTATTAGCTGTCATAGAGTTGGTTCTGACTCATAGTGAACCTACGTACAAGAAAATGAAACACTGTCCAGTCCTGTGCCATCTTCACAATCATTGATGTGTTTGAGCCCACTATTGCAGCCACTGTGTCAATCTATCTCATTAAGGGTCTTCCTTTCTTTCGCAGACCCTCTAATTTACTACGCATGATGTCCTTCTGCACGAACTGGTCCCTCGTGATAACACGTCCAAAGTACATGAGACGAAGTCTCGCCATCCTCACTTCTTTTTTTTTCTTTTTTTCTTTTTTTTATTGTGCTTTAGGTGAAGGTTTACAGAATAAACAGTTTCTCATTACACAGTCAGTACACATATTGTTTTATGACATTGGTTACCAAACCCACAACACGTCAATACTCTCCCTTCTTGACCTTGGAGGACCTTTTCTCTTTTTTGGTGAAAATATACATAGCCAAAGATGCACCATTTCAAAAATTTCTACATGTACAATTCAGTGACATCGATTACTTTCTTATAGTTGTGCTGCTATTCTCACTATCCTTTTCCAAACTATGCCATCACCATTATCTTCAACTCACCGCCCTGTAGGTTTCCCATCAAACCTTTTGAGCTGCTGTTGTCAATTTGATCTCACATAGATGATTCTTTTTTTGTACTTTAGATGAAGGTTTACAGAACACAATAGTTTCTCATTAAACAGTTAGTACACATATTGCCCTATGACAATGGTTAACAACCCAGCTACATGTCAACACTGTCCTTTCTCAACCTTGGATTCCCCATCACCAGCTTTCCTGTCCTCTCCTGCCTTCTAGTCCTTGTCCTTGGACTGCTATGCCTTATTAGTGCTGTTTTGTTTTATGGGGCTGTCCAATCCCTGGCTGAACGGTGAACCTTGGGAGTGACTTCACCACTGAGCTAAAAGGGTGTCCGGGGGCCATACTCTCAGGGTTTCTCCAGTCTCTGTCAGGCCAGTAAATCTGGTCTTTTTTTGTGTGTTAGAATTTTGTTCTACATCCTTCTCCAGCTCTGTCCAGGACCCTCTGTTGTGATCCCAGTCAAAGCAGTCAGTGGTGGTAGCCAGGCACTATTTAGCTATACTGGACTCAGTCTGGTAGAGGCCTTGGTAGCTGTGGTCCATTAGTCCTTTGGACTAATCTTTTCCTTGTATCCTGTTCTCTTCATTCTCCCTTGCTCCCAAAGGAGTGAGATCAGTGGAGTATCTTAGATGGCTGCTCACAGGCTTTTAAGACCCCAGACGCTACTCACCAAGGTAGAACGTAGAACATTGTCTTTATAAACTGTGTTATGCCAATTGAGCTAGATGATCCCCGAGAGCATGGTCCCCATAGCCCTCTGCCCAGCAATTTAGTCCCTCAGGGAGTTTGGATGTGTCTATGGAGCTTCCAAGACCTTTCCTTGTATAAGCTGTACTGGCTTCCCCAATATCATGTACTGTCTTACCCTTCACCAAAGCTACCACTTATCTACTGTCTATTTAGTATTCCCCCACCCACCCCTCCCATCCCTTGTAACAAACAAAGATTGTTAGTTTTTGTGTGTAAACTTTTTCATGAGTTTTTACAGTAGAGGTCTTATATAATATTTGTCCTTTTGTGATTGACTTATTTCACTCAGCATAGTGTCCTTCAGTTTCATCCACATTATCAGATGCTTCACAGATTCATCATTGTTCTTTATTGTTGCATAATACTCCACTGTGTGTATGTACCATAGTTTTGTTTATCCATTCATCTGTTGATGGGTGTCTAGGTTGTTTCCATCTTTTTGCTATTGTGAACAATGCTGCAATGAACACGAATGTGTATATGTCTATTCGTGTGACGACTTATTTCTCTAGGATATATTCCT